CCTGACAACCCCTCCGAGGAAGTTGTGTGGTCCCAGGACAGCCCTGCCATTATCAGAGAAGGTCAGCAGCCTCACCAGTGGCAGGAAGCAGGCTGGCCCGGTGAGGGTTAATCTGCCGGGCCAGCCATTACAGGGGTCACCGTGATGTGCAGAGAAGTTGAGCCTCCCAGTCCCCCAGAGCTGGTCTGCTAATTACATTTGCAATTATAAACACCACAACCTCCCCGCACAGGGACGAAGCCACACCAGCCGACGGGGCTACCAGGATATAATCCCACCCCACCCATGCCAGGGGACACCAGGGCCACCCAAAGCCTATGGGCCCCTCCTCCGAGGGAAGACCATGTCTGTGACTGTCCCCAGAGGTCTAAGGCCGCTGGGGCTGAGGAAGGGCAGACTCACCAGAGACAGAGCCCAATCAGGGGTCACCAGTGCATACATGCTAAAAAGTTCTTTGATTTATCTCTAGAAATCAACGAAAGGCTTCAAGGGCAAACAGGCAGGATGTTCAGGAAGATTCCGGACCAGATTTGGCTAGTTACAGCCCATTCTCAGCTTGTACCCTCCTGGCTTCCTGGGGTCCTTCCTTAGACGCTACACTGGTAGCACCTCTAGGGGCTGTAGTGTCACTAGAGGACCCCAGAAGTTGAGCATTCGAGTCAAGCTGGGGCTCCCCACCCCAGTAACATTCAGTCAAGAGCCACCAGACTCTATGACAGAAGCTCCCAGGGGAGCTGTGCAGCGTCCTCGCTAATTCCGGGCAGAGCTCCTGCTCAGCAGGAAGAGCATTTCGAGGGTGTCACTTAAGAGAGAAATGGACAGAGACCTGACGATGGCCTGTAGGTGTTGGGGGACACCAGAATGGAGGCAATCAAGGTGTGGTGTGGGCTTTACTTTGAAGGAGGACATTATGGTCTAAATATCTGCCATCTCTTCCCTTAAATTTGGAACCAGAAAGAATTTTAATCATTTTGAAGAAGTCACTTAAAGGAACTGGGAAGACAAGTTCTAGAGAAGGGCGCTGCAGAGCCAGGCCAAAAGCATCCTGTTTCTTGCTTGTCTACCATCTTCGAATTCTGTCTCCTTCTGAATCCTACTCATTCACGGTCAACTCCACCACCCACCCCCAATTCACACACTCCCTCAATGTCTCTCTGTCACACGCATCCTTCCTCTGGCCCATCAGAGGTAGGCAGATCTTTGCTCAAAAGAAAAAAGGCATTCAGCAGAGGGCCGAGGAAGGGGATAAACTTTCTCAATGAGTTTAGATTATCTTTAAAAACCACTTGGCAAAATGTCCAATTATCAGGAATATTAATGGAGCGCATGCAGGACAAAGTTATAAGGGCCCCCGAGCTAGGGCCGGGGGTGCTCTGAGAAGGCAGAGTGTGACATGAAATCTCTGTCACCGCCACCTCCTTCGAAGTGCTTTCCCCGAAAGTCCCCTCTGCCCCTCCTCTCCCAGACTAAATGGAATATTTATTGATTACTCCAAATCAATAGAATAAAAAGGTTCCTGTTTGGTGGCCAGGTTATTTCTTTGTGTTTTTTTTTTTTGTTTTTGTTTTTGTTTGTTTTAAGAAACAGATCTTTTTCATATATCCTCATTATCAGCAAAATAAAGGATTGTTTCTAAAATGAAAAGGGTTGGGGGAAGTAACAAACTCCAAGAGGAAATTTCCAGTGATGTCAGGATCTCACTGAGCTGGAAAGAGCCTTACCCGGGACCAGGGCCCTCCAACATTGACCTAATGTCTCCTCCCAGTTTATCGCCTTCAGGCCTGAACGCCTCCCACCTCCTATCACCCATCCTCTTCCACGGCAGCGCACACCTCCAGAAGGGTGACAGGCACATAAAGGTTTATTTCCTAGAGCCCCTCCCTTAGAAAACTGAGACTAATGTCCTCACTCTGATTTATTTTTAAATGTACCATTAAAAATTAATTTCCCCCTTTGTTTTTCTCCGGGTCACCGACTCTGAATTACCATGTGGCATTTTTCCTACGTGTGAACTCACATATTTTACCTTCAGGACAATTTGTTCTTTGTTTCTTTAACAACAGCGAAGTGGTCATCGGATGGTGGGGAAGACAGCCCCCTGGCTCTCTGGGCTGTGTGCGGTGGGTCTCCAGTTGGTCCAGTCATGGACCCATTTGTACACAGGCACACACAGGCGAGCACGCTGCCTCCCACTCTGGGTGATCATATATGTACATAAAATATTGATTAGAAAGGGTAATGGAGTCACCTACAGGATTAGCTACAGGAAAATGAAAATGAAGGAGAGCAAGGTAGGAAGGTATGTATGTTTCTGTGTGTGTGTGTGTTCATTTCTCACCTGGGAAAGTGAGAATGACACTACAGCATTAACAAATGCTCTCTGTGTGTTAGAAGCAAAGGGAGGACCACAGAGTTCCTCCTCCCTCAACTCTAGTCCCTATGCCCTTGGGTTTTCTCAAGTCCGGGAATGTCAACCAATCCACAGGGGTCAAAATTGTGAGCAGAGCGTACCCGAACCCACTCACTGTATGTTCCCTTAGAAACGCCGGCACTATAATGAATGGCTTTGTCCTACTATCCTTCTACCAAACCAAAGAATCCAGTCCCCCGCTCTGTTACTTTGCTACCTATGGCTCTAAAGCTATGTCACAAAGCTGTGGGGTAGAGGTCAGAAAGATGTCCCTCCAGACACCAGCCCCAGACCTCCACAAGCTCGTCCTTGAAATGATGCCCCTCTGCACCACAGCACATGCGGACCCTCCCCAGGCGGCACATATATGTATGAGGCCAGCTCACCAATGCCTGGGCTGCCGCCCAGTGGGTCCTGGGCTTTGAGAAATGACATCTCACAGGGGTGCTCAGTTCCTGGGTGGAGATGGCAGGTGTATTTTTGGCTTTTCCTGCACCCCATGGAGTGAGAAGCTAATTCTTTGCGAAGAAACCAGGAAGGGTTGGGGATCTAAACCAAGCTTAATTTATAAATGTCAAGCTTAGTTTATAAATGATTTCCATCTCAAACCTTTCCCAGACCCCCAGGACCTCGGCTTCCTCACTTCCTTCTGCCGCTTCCCTTACATTGCCTTTTTGCCCATATTTCTCCTCAAACTCCAGTCAGGGCTGCCGTCAACTCGATGAATTACCCAGCTGTTAAAGCCTCCATCTCACTCCTTGCTTTCCTGGTAAACACAATCAAAGAATGGACTTTCTTCATACGAATTTTCATATTTATTGACTATGACTTGAGCCAGGGACAAACACATACGTATTTTGTGCTCAACTAAAGAAGTCACCTCTGGAGAGAGGGAGCCTTAATAATTTAAATATCCAATATTTGTCATACTTGATCATTTTATGTAAGGAAATACTCCACAAGCACCAAAACTGTCCACAACCTCACTAACCTCAGGTTCTCCCACCCCATCCCCACCCCAGCTGGAATCTAACCTTTAAAAGGAGTGAAAGCCACTTTTCAAGCTGATGGAAATCGGAATCCATTATTATTAAAGATTCCTCTCCCAGTCCAGCGCCTTCTGCGGACATTCTGGGGGCATCTAAAGGGCTCTCTGCCCGAGGGTGGAGTGGGAAAAATCCCCAAATTAGAAGCAGGAACAGTCTGGTCAACAACACAAGCCCTGCTGTGGACAGCTGCCCTCTCTCTCAAGCGGGGTGCACCGTGGTGGAGGTGCTCCGTGCAGCCAGGAGAGGGGTTAGGTACTTCCTGGGACCCCACATTATCCAGAGTATGTATTTTAGAGATGTAGTCGTGGTTCTTTGGGGGAAGGGGAGAGCGAGTGGTACACACGTGAAAGCACGGTGGAACTGGAGAAACGCTGACTTAGAGAGTTTAGTTTGCCTCAGAAAAAAAGAGGAAGACGAGCACAAAGTTAAGCAGAAAAGCTGTCCGTGAGAACCTAGAGTTTTATTAATTATTATTATTATTAAGCCTTCCGAGGGACCACTTTGCACAGGCACACACCCTGCCTCCGGGACACCCGCCGGGGGCGCCGTGGGGTGCGCAGTGCCCAAGAGGAGACCGGGGCAGGTACCCGAGCAGGTGAGGCGGCGGCGACGGTGGACGGGGCCGGGAGGGAAACCGTAGGTGGACAGAGTGGGACCCCCGAGAGCCCGGACAGGACACGCGGGTTGACCACCCGCTGCTTGGGCAATCAATTCACTTTCCTACTCTGCGCTCTTGGCGCGCTGCCCCGGGGTTGGGGACCCGCGGTTCCTGAGAGTCGCTTCTCGCAGCCCCGGCAGCCGTCCGCGCCTACGCGGTTCGGATAACCCCAAGCTCTGGCACCGCGAGCGCAAAGCCGCCTCGGAGCAGGGAAATCGTGCCCGTCTGTTCCGCTGGGCGCAGCCTCCCCCAAAGCCGCGAGCGAACTTTGCCTACTACGCAGCGCTGGGTCCGCATCCCCCTGGCGCCCTGGATCCGCCGCGCCACGTGCGCACCCTCCGGACGCCCCACGGGGACCGCGAGGCGAGAGCGGCACTGGCCGCCTGCAGTTTCCAAACCGCCGCGGCACGTTCGATTTTCTCTCTCTTGCCGGGATCATTTTTGGTCTCCAGGATGGAAATAATAAAACAAAGCACCCGCGGGAAGGCTTCCCCCGACGGGACAGGACATCCTTGCAACCACATCCCTGCACCTGTTCTGGGCTTCTTCTTCCCTTCTTGCTCCATTCCACAAAAACTCAAATATTTTCTCACCCCGGAGCAAGATCAGAGAGGAGAGAGAAAAGGAGAAAGTGCATGAGAAAGCGCCACTCTTGCCCGAAAGTGGATTTGTAAAAGGGGGTGCGGGAAAAAGTTAGAGGCGGGTTTATGCCCTAGAAAGAAACCCAGAAGTGTGCGGCTTTTACCCTCCTTCGTCCCCCAAGTGCCCCCCCGAAGTCCCTTCCACTTTTACACAACAATGTGCAGAAAAGGAACGGCCATCCCCAGGACAGAGACTGCCGGACGGGCAGAAGGACAGACAGACCGAGAAGCAGGGCACCTACTGGTTGTGGTAGCCGAGGGGGTCCGGGATGCAGAGTTCGGACACGTCCATCAGTCCCGTTTTAGCATTCCCAGTTGGTAGAGAAAGGCGGCGGGGAAATCACGCGGAAGAGCGAGTGAAGGGCACGGGCAAGGTGCGAGCCCGGGCAGGGCACAGTGAGCGCGAGAACGCAGAGTGGGAGGACGCGGCTCCGGCCGGGGAGAGGGAGGCAGAGACCCGTGCGCGCAGAGCCTGGCGCTCCCACTCATCCGCACGCTCCGGAGCGAGCGGGCAGAGGGGATGAGAAGCCGTGGAGGAGGCTGGGGCACCAGAGACTTGGAGCCCACTAACCCTACTGTAGCTTTAAGGCTGGGAGACTGATGTATGATTTGGCTCCTATTGGCTATCTCTCAGGGGCTGGACTTAAAGTGACAGAATCAAGCCGGGGTGGGGGGAGGGGGGTGAGCCAGAGAGACTTCAATGGAATAAGACGCTCAGCGCGCAAGGTCCCCACCTCCTGAGCAGTAGGAGTAGTGGGTGTTAGAGCCCCAAGGTCTGCCTTCTCGCAGTTCAAGGCGAGGGGCAGGGAGGGGGGGGAATGTCCAACTGCCAGGTGGGTCTCAGGATGGGGGGAGATTTGCTGCTTACATACCCCCCAGCCACCCCATCCCATCTTTTAACTGGCAGGTCTTAGCAAACTCACCTCTCAGCCTTTCTGGAATGGATTTGTTTTCCAAATTAAAAATGAGTCACATTTCTCCACCCACGCACCAAAGAGAAGAGGCAGCCTCAAACCCTGCGCTGTGTGTGCAAAAGTGCAAAGGGTCAGGCCAGCAGGTGAGGCACAGCAAGAAGGCAGGAGAGAAACAGAGTCCCTTCCCAGTTCTTATCACCTGGGCCAGTCAGTTCTGCACCACTCTCATACGGCTAGATGCAGGGTGCGCATCTATAAAACGTTCTCTCGATGTATGAAGTGACGCTGTAGTCATTGGCAGCTCTCTGAAATGTACCCAGGACACAGACATGAGCAAATAAATTTCTGTCTGCTTAGGAAGATACCATCGTGGTGAAAATGATCAACTTACCCGCCACATCCACTCCAAGGCACAAGTACACACTTTGAAATACACACCTGAATCCCCAGCTACAAATGCACCTGCATCCCCGTCAGCTGCTCCCTCAGTGAACCTGAATATTATGGGATGCCACTGTACCAAAATGAGCTGTAAGTTATGCCCCAGCCCTGCTTCTGGGGTTTTTCATCTTTTGAGATGCACCAGCCACAGGGATAATAATCAATTTGATGATTCAAATGAGTGTGGGGAGAGGAGCAGGTATAGAATTATTTAAAAGGGGGGAAAAGCCCTTAGGAGAGACTATCACCTTATTCTCCTATATTCTGCAGAAGACAATGAGCAGTAGGGGGGAGACATAATTTTATCATCAAAATAATGTCTAAATGGAGTGTAACTGCAGGCAATGTTCAAGCACTTCAGGAATAAAAGCAGGGAGGGTTGTGAGAAACCCCAGGAGGGGCCAGCCGCCTGGGCCGGGGCTGGGAGAGTGGGCAGAAGGATCGCAGATGATTTTTGACTTGGATAAATGTGCTTGTGCAGGTTGGGAAACACAGCTGAGATTTTTCATAAGTGCTGAAGTGGAGGGACGAGTGGGATTCTCTGGGCACAAGGCTCAGGAAGGCATCTCACAGAGAGATGGATGAAGATGTCTCCTTTGTCAGTAGCCCCTCAGCAGCCTCCGATTTTTAAAAATCACATAGGTACTTCATCAGAGACAGAAAGAGGGGTGCAGAGATGCTTCCCTTGAGCCTAGCTTCTGCATGACCATCATCTCTCACCAAGTCCTCAGTGGCTGGTTTCTCTGCAACCTTTCTGCCCCGCTGAAATCCATTCTCCAGGCACACAGCAACCAAGGAGTGCTTTGTAAAATGCACATCCAATGTCTTGTTGCTGCAATTAGGAAACAGGCCCCAGTCCTTGACCTCCAAGGAAGGCATCCTATGACAGGTTCCTGCAGGTCCCTGTGTTCCTCTCCACAGTCCCTGCTGCCCTTCCTCTGGGCCCCAGTCTTTACACCTGCCACCGAGAAGGCCCCACCTTCCATATCGTGCTAGAACCTTCTGTGGTTCGCTTTGCTTTGGGTAGTTCATCACAGTTTACAATTGTCTGTGTACTGGCATGAGTGGCCCTTCCCTCCTCCACCCTTCCCTCACTAGACTGTAAGTTCCATGGGAGTAGGGACCATGTCTCTTTTTGTTCACCAGAGAATCCCCAGCATCTAAAGGTGCCTGGTACATCACAGTTGCTTGACGAAGATTTTGCTGAATGAATGGCTAACCTGTAGGAGTTTGGACTGGGGTGCCACAGCCTGCTGAGTGACAGGCCACTGCCCAGGAAGAAGGTGAGGCACTGATGGGTTTGGGGGCCCCTTGGCTCCTTACTCTGTGTGGGTGCACCGTTTTTAACTGGAAACAAAACACACTTGGTAAAAATAAAGTCCTCTCCACAGCCTGAAAAGAAAGACCACGTCACAGCCCAAAGCAATGGATTCAAAGCCGCTGGGAGCACATGAGGAGAAATTGGGGTCTGCATTGGTTAAAACACTAGGCTAATGCTTGCATACAATATCTCTGCCTCTAAGGTCCAGGCATGAAGGTGATCTGGGCCTCATCTCTGGGCACTAGCTGATTGTCCTCCAGGCGGAAGTGAGCTCCTGGAGACCTAGGCCTTCTCAGCCTTCCTCTGCCTGAGCCTTCTCTCACAGAGCCCTGGGGCAAGCTCTTTCTCATTTCCTTCCTGACTCTGCAAGAGGAGAGATGAGGGTCAGCCACCGGGATACCCCAGTGGCATGATCCAACTTGGCAGGCCCAGGCTCCTCCTGTGATTCTCCCGACAAACCTGCCTGGGTCCCACACTGTGCATGGGGCCCACATTTTCCCTGCTCTGCCCTCAGCCCACTCACAGAGGATGGATTCCTCCCCAAAGCCGGGGTCAGGCTCCATGCCTCTGACTGGAGAGGCAGCAGTGTGGGACAGTAAAGAACTCTGGGATCCGGTCCTGACTCCTCCGTGTGACCTTGCCAAAGTCATCTCTTCTCCAGAAAACAGGCTGTGCAGGGGTGGAGTGGGGTGGGCAGCGTTCTTGGCTTTCTTCAAGCCTAAAATGCAGTCAACCAATCATGATTTAGTTTACTGCTCACCTAGAGCAGGAGCTGTTTGTAATCCACGCCCAGCAAGAGCTCTAAGCCATCCCTTCACTACCTTCCACCCCAGTACTTATACCCCCAGGTGGGCAAGTCAGCCAAAAGGAAAGTAGACAAAAGCTATTAGATGCAGTAAGTGTGGGGGATGTAAGATGACAGCAGCTCATGTTGTTTTTGTGACAAATGCCTTTAAATTGATATTCATTACATTCATAGCACCTTACAGCTAGGAGGGACTCAGAAAACCATTTAGAACCATCATCAGATTTGACAAAGGAAATTTGTAAATTTCCCTGTGTGGTGAAGTGACCTGCCCAAGGTCACACAGAGAATATCTGGCAAAGCATGCCATCTGTGGTCACTGAGTTTCTACTTATTCAATTCCTAAATCTTAAAAGACAAGTCCCTTTGCTTTCCTTTCTTTCTTTCTTTTTGAGACAAGGTCCAGCTCTGTTGCCCAGGCTAGAGTGCAGGGGCATGATCTCAGCACATTGCAACCTCTGCTTCCTGGGCTCAAGCCATCTTCTTACCTCAGCCTCCCCAGTAGGTGGGACTACAGGCACCCACCAGCACGCCTGGCTAGTTTTTGCATTTTTTAGTAGAGACAGAGTTTCACCATGTTGCCCAGGCTGATCTAGAACTCCTGGCCTCTTGTGATCTGCCTGCATCAGCCTCCCAAAGTGCTGGAATTATAGACATGAGCCACCATGCCCTGCCACTCTGCTTTTCCTACTCCCTCCTTCCCTGAGTTTGAGCTCTTTCCTAAGAAATATGAAGACAAATGAGAACTGTCCAATACAACACACTCCACACACTCTTCGCCTGGTGGACAGAGGGAACCCAGGCTTCTGTGTCCTCACCCTCCTCCCAGTGGTTTCCTGGGAGGTAAAAAGGAAGCACTGGTTGGTGGATGCCGATGTCATAGGCTGCTGTCCTACAGTGAGCAATGCTCCAGGTGGCAGATAATTAGGAAAAATATTCACATACAGCCTAGCCCACTCTGTCCCCCATGCCTCTATTTCCCTGGGTACAAAAAGCACTGAGTATGTCAGAGATCTAGACAAACACAGGTCTCCACTGACCACCTACCCTTTCCCACCCCAGCATGCCTAAGTCCTCAGGGTATGCCATCCTACTCTAGGGACTAGATCTCAGGGGGTGACTAGAGCAGTCTAGCAGTCTCATCATGATACACGCAGGCTAACCCAGCATAGCAACTCTTGCCAGAGGTCGGGAGAAAATCTCGTCTTAACAGAACCCAGTCTTTGTAGTGTCTTCCCTCTCTAGAGGCAGTCTCCCTGGACACCAGCCATTTTTGCACAAATGAGGCAGCAGCAAGCAGTGTCTCTCAGGTCCTCAAATCCCCTCCCTGCCCTATGCTCTCCTAAGACCAACAACAGGAGGATACTTCTTCCACCTTTCAAGCTAGGCAACTTAGCAGAATCTGGTGGAGCCAGCTTGGTCCCCAGGAGAGCAGAGGGCTTGACGGCTTCCTCACTAAAAGACAAGACCCAACAGGCATTTTTTGATAATTTGCCACATGCTCTCTAAATCCAGTGAGTGTGGGAATGCTAACTGCATGTTTATGCCATCCCCATCCCTCACCCGTCCCCGTTTTCCTGAAACCAAGTTTCCAGGTGGGAATGATGCCTTCAGAAACACCCACAGTGTGTAGCCACTTCTTACCACCAGCCCAGGAAGGGGAGGATGCCTCCGTGGAATGGTCTGAGTTGCAAGCCACGCTCATTTCTGTTCCACCCCAGGGTGAGGGCTGGGGCAGGTGTGTCCAGGAAGAGCTTCCATTGCCAGTCCACAATGACTAAGGTGGGCCTGGCCTAGACGGCGAGCCTAACCTGCGCATCTCTGAGGACAGTGCCCGTGGGCTCCTGGCCAGGGGAAATGTCCCTGACCAAACGTCTCTGCGGACCTGCTGTCTTCTCACATGCTTGAATTTGGGGGTGTGGAGTTATATCCCTGAGTGATG